TGTCAACCAACAGTCTGTTGCACTCTGCATTGAATTGATTTGTGCAATTGGCAATGTGCACAAGTCTGTATGCAGTCCATCTAGCCTCTTTCCAGAAAAATGTGGAGAGGAGGTAGATCTAGAAGGATCTCCATGGCCGCTGACGGTGTGGTACTGATAGCACCACTGATAGCCAGACAAGCCTGTCTCTGTAAGCCAGAGAGATTCGCTTGGGCCGTTTTCTGTAAAGCCTTCGGCCACCAGGCAATTGCACCATAAGTGATCATTGGTCTGACAATCGTCACATTAATCCAATGAATTTGTTTGGAACCGAAACCCCAAGGCTGTCCATAAGGACAGCCTGGCCTTGTGTAAATCTTTTTCCAAGTGAGTGTTCCAGATGAGTCTTTTATCAAGGACAATGCCAAGATATTTCACCTCCGTTCCAAATGGAATGACCACACCATTGAGGAAAACTGGCATTACATCGTCCAATTTTCTCTTCTTGGTGAAGAGAATTAATACAGTTTTGCTGGGGTTGACAAACATCTGCTCCGTCAGGCAACAACTGTGAACAACGTCCAACGGGCTTTGGAGGATATTACAAGCTACCCTTCTCAACGTGGACCTTGCCAAGATGACAACGTCATCTGCATAAGCTTGCAGATCGACTTTTCTTCTGTCTAGGGCATCAAGCAAACTATCCACCAGGAACGACCACAGAAAGGGAGATAGTAACCCACCTTTAGGGCCGCCCCTGGTGACCCTGAACCTGATAGCCTCGCCTTGAAGAGTCGTAGTTGCAGTACTGTTTACTATCATGGCATAGATCCAGCCAGTTATGGTCGATTCTATACCCTTCCTAGCCAGAGACAATCCTATAGATTTAGATAGTGCATTGTCAAATGTTCCTTCAATATCAAGAAATACAGCAACCGCAATCTCCTTGTTGTCAAGGGATTGGGAGATTTTCTCAACGAGGTTGTTTAATATATGGTATATAGTTCCACGCCAGACTAGCTCTATACAATTTTGTAAGAAGTCCGGAAGTCCGTTTTGAAGAAGAGCTGGAAATATACCATCCTCTCCGGGAGATTTGAAGGGCTGAAAAGACTGTATAGTAGTCAGCGGCTGGTGTGATACACTATAACTTTCTGCATCTGGGCCAAACCATCACAGCAGAGTCTTATTGTGAGGAAATCGACGAAATGTACCGAAATTCGCGTCAACAGCAGCCGGCACTCGTCAACAGAAGAGGTCCGATCCTGCTCCAGGACAACGCACGGTCCACAAATTAACGTCCAACGTCTAAGTTCTGTCTCACCCACCATACTCCCTAGACCGCTCCCCAACTACTATCTTTCTTTTCAAGCACTTTCATAACTTTCTCACAAGTAGAACCTTGGCCAATCAAGACCAGGCAAAATCAGCCTTCGCCGACTCGAATCTCGAGCACACAGTTTTTATGCTGATGGAATTATTCGACTTGTGTTACATTGGCAAACGTGCACTGATTCATTTCGCTCATTTCGATTGAGTTGAATAAGTATCCACTGAGATGTTACAGTATAAAGTAGGCTCATGAAAACGGACGAAAATTTTGAAACAACTTGATGGTTAGAACGGATTGCACACACATTGTAATTGATTTACTCTTGTTAGAAAATCCTAACTCCATATTAATAACAATGATAATAATAATGAATCGTTCATTGCCCAACAAATTGAATAAACGTTATATTTATAAAACACCTGAAGTATTTGGCTTAGAAAAGGAAAAGGTGCAAACAAATCATTTCCATACTCCACGAGAAAATAGTTTTAGTTGATTAAGTGAGCAATTAATAATATCACAATGATTACAAAATGAATTGTATATGTCACAAATTGATTGCATTTTATAACAACAATTAAAAAATGTTTCCGAGAGCCCGTACACTGTTGAAATCGTCATTAGTAAATCAGATCTGTTAAATTGGTTGTGTTTGAAATACCCATGATTTGCAGAAGACCACACTTTGCGACAATGATAAAGTTACCTTAAACTTTTGTATGGTTATATTGATTACCTTTTTAAAGGTGTGATAGATATTATTTCAAGCATGTTCAAATTCTGATAGAAATTTTTGAATATTGATGTGTGCTCTTAAATTTCCATAAAATAGTCCTTAATATGCACAATTGAGCAGTTGCCAATACCCATTCATTTCAAAGGAGTAATCTTGAACATCGATTTTCATTCAATATCTGGGCTAGAACTGTAAAAGGTCCTTTCTTTTTCGAGAGATTACCTTCCAGACCTCCTAAATAAAATACCACATATTTGGTTTCCTCATGAAGGTGCATAACTCGCGGGCATCCCATTATCTCCAGATTTCAAACGAATACATTTTTCAATCAGAAGGATATATGAAAAATCTGAATCATAAGTTTAAAGAATAGAGACGAGATGATAATGTAGCAGCTCAAATTAGGACGAATCACAGAACCATTCATAGAGCATGTACCAAGTCTTGGGTAAGAAGAGCTCAGCACTGCATTGTAGCTTATGATGGAATTTTGAACATCTTCTGAAATGTGGTACAGAGTTTGAACAACGAAGTGCGAGTCAAAGTTCAGTTATCACGATAATCTTATTTTGAATTACTCTTGTGCTGAATAAACGATTATTATTGTATGTATCATTTAATATGTAATAAGATAAGGTTGCTCTCATTTTCCATCTGCGGGCACATCAAAACTGTATCTTTTAGACAATATGAATGACAGCCATATAAAATCAGTTACAGTCAAAATATCATGATTACTTGTATCCCTGAAAATCAACATGGCTAACTCATCTTCCAGTGTTACCACATCATTTTCACCATCACCAGCTTCACAATTTTTATTGCAAAACGGTAATAGAATTTTCAGTTTCTCACAATTTCTAATTACTTCCGTTAAGACATAAAAACTGTAAACACCCTGTATGAATATTCTTGAGTTTCTCGTCGCCTAATAATAGCTAGTCAATGGAGATTTTTAACATTCATCAAACTAGAGCCCTTCACCAAACACCCAAAAAAAAATATATTAAAATCACATCATACCAAAAATAAAAAAAGTGACGTGTAACGTATCTGTCAAATTTGGACTGTTGTTTATAGAATATAAGGCATACCAAGAATTGCATCATCTAACGGAAAACAGCACTGCGCACTGAGCCCTCTAGTCGGCTTAGTTCATGACCCAGTGTTTGTGTGTGAGGCAATGAGCGGCCCGCAGCCAAGCCAGTCCAAATCTGACTGCGGCATGGGGCAGCCTTTTATCGGGTGGGGCCCACCTATAGCCAGGCCAGGTTATAGCCAGCAGTTCGAGACCACAGACTTCAACGAGGCCTTCTTTAGCCGAGCACACTGATCGTCGTCCGATAGAGAGACAGAGAGAGGCACAGCCACAATGACAAGTTTCTGTCATTAACTTGCTAGTGCCTCTGGAAAAGAGAGTAGTGCCAATTTATTTTTTTGCTGACAATTTTTTCCATTGAACATTGGTCAACAGGCTAATATTAATTTTTGACTGAACGAATTTGTTACTGGGAAACAAAAACTGAAAAAATAAAAAATAAAAATGTTTAAGTTATTAGCCTGCTAATCATGTATAAAAAAGTTTCAGATCAATAACAGATTGGAAAAAAAAAAACATACCTAAACCTCTTGCGGCTACGTCTGTGGCAACGAGAATAGGAGCTTTTCCGGTCCTAAAATCTGTAAGGAAAAATATTTTCAAGACAATGTAGTTTCTACAAAGAATCTGACAAAAATTGAAGAATAATAGTTACAGTAGAATTCATATATAACGACTATCCGATAATGTTTACTCAAGTTTAGTTTCATATTTAGTTATTGAGAAAATATACCGTTTAGTGCGACTCCGGTTTAAGCGATCAACCACTTACCGCGACCGTTTTTCATGATAATACATCCGGTTATAACGTCGCGCAATGTTTTGTTTACACAATCTGCGCACCAATACCTCGGCGCACTCCCTCTTCTNCTATTTGTAGATACCCTTTGTGCCTCACGTGATAGGCCCCAAGCTAGTATACTATATGAGATTTTTGAGTGTAATTGGGCATGATAGTACATGAGTACCACCGACTTGGTACATATGTGAACCAACAACTATCTGCTCTTAATATTTCCTTCTCCTCTATTGCTGGCACTACTATCAGATATTATTAGATTGATTTAACGCCATAGGTTCTAGTATGAAGTCTTTGTCACTTGTTGTAAGTTCATAAAGTTCGACAAAATTAATTCTGTGAAGCGAAAGTGTTTTGCAATTAAAGAAAAAAGTGCAATATTACACCGATTAGAAGCCGGTGAATCAAATACAGCCCTCGCAAAGAAGTTTGGCGAATCCCATTCTACAATATCCACAATCAAAAATAATAAAGATAAGATTGAGTCGCTGTTCAATGCCAATGTTTTGAAATGCAAACATGTAAGGACTTCTACTCATGAGCAGTTGGATAAGTCATTGCGAAACAATGTAGAATGTAGCCGAACTTCAAACTCTGATGATTTCAACGAAGAAGACGACGTGCCGCTGAACATTTGGTCGAGGGTTATTGATATGCATCAGTTACCCATAACAAACGAGGAATTTGAATAATACGCGAGTGTCGATGATGCTGTCGCCACTTGTGAGGAACTGTCTGATGAAAACATTGTGGAAAATATAATTGCCAACGACGTGAATAGCAAACATAATGACTGTGATGATGACGCACCAGAGAAGATCTATCCAGCCTTGAGTGTGTCTGACCACTTTTGTGGTCACCTCCCGAACTTTTACTCAACTTTGAATATATATAATACGTTAGCTATGTCTTTATAATTTGTGAAAGCTCATGGCTTTACATTTTAGTCAAGTCTTATAAGATTGGAATTTTATCTTGTTACCTTGTATTTTTTTTTTGTAAATCTAATTTATCTATAAGCATTTTTTTAAAACTATATTGACAAATCTTACCCTCTCAAACCTATTTTAGAAATTGTATTGACGTGTCTAAAAACTGTGTGTTTCTTGAGACTAATAAATATTATTATTATTAAGCTCTGAAGGCTGTGGAAACGCTCAATGTGTTTGTTCAGACTAACTTGGATGATGATGTTATGAAAACAATGATGTCGCGAATTCATAATGCTGTACGAAATTCTTACTATCAAACAAAAGTTTGTCAAAAACAAACTCAAATAACAGACTTTCTGAGTTACTAACACAGTTTTTTCGTACATTGCGTATGTATTTTATCTCTTTGTATTACAGTACATAATGTAAATACATATGTTTGTACATTAATATATTTAAGAACTATTTAAATAAAGCATATGTAATTCCTATAAAATGTTTTATTCACCTATCGATCAGCAATCCGAAAAGCTAAATGAAAGACTAATGAACTACCACAAAATCATTAATCCGTTTTGTGCGTCGTCCGGTTAGTACGACATAGTATATCCGGTCTCTTGNAGAATATTTTCTGGCCTGTAGAAACATATGAACCAAATTTTATTAAAAATTGCGCTATGTATTTATAGAAATTATCTCTACTTTCAATAATCATGCGCAATATGACGCACATTTTAAAATGTTTGTAATCGTGTTTGAAACTTGAAGCTATTGATTTTGAATGTTTCATTTTTAGATTTATATGTACACATATTTGATATTTTTAAAATTTTCCTGTAGACGTATTTCTCAAACAAAAATATTCTGCCACTTCTGAGAATGATTATAAAATACTGTGTTGAAATATATGTATATATCTATCTATCTATCCTATGATCAAAGTAAGTAACTGAATCATTACAGTTACCAAATGTAACCTAAATTTTATACGATAACCTGTCAAGTGCTTTAAACAAGTTAATCTATATGTAATTATATTTATTTATGAAAATCACCTTGTAGTACCCCGTCTCGCTCTTGTTGAGTTTTATCTCCGTGAATACAGACCGCTGGCCAACTGTAAAAACAGAAATCATTTCAAAGTTAGGCATTTGCAAATTCATTACTACTCACCCATCTCGCTTCATTTTTCTAGTGATTTCATCGACTTTCCTTTTGGTCTCGATAAAAATGATTGTTTTGTTTTCCTTTTCGGCCATAATCTCCTTCAAAAGAGTACTCAATTTGGTTTCCTTTTCGCTTTCTTGGCAAACGTCGATAATCTGTAAAATATTGTGGTTGGCAGACAACTGCAGCGACCCGACATTGATCTGAATGTAATCCTTCAAGAATTCCTGAGCTAAATTTTGTACTTCTTTTGGCCAAGTAGCAGACCACATCAAGGTTTGTCTGTCCGGTCGGATCTGTTCGATAATTTTTCTGATTTGAGGTTCAAAACCCATATCAAGCATTCTGTCTGCCTCGTCAAGAACTAAATAAGTGCACCTCTTCAGATTTGTCCTATTGGTTTCTAAGAAATCTATGAGACGGCCTGGAGTCGCAATAACTATTTCTACTCCGTCCATTAGGTCATTCACTTGTGGACCCTTGGGTGCACCACCGAATACGCATGTACTACGTATTTTTGAAGTCTGACCGAAATCAGAGGCAACCTGTAATTAATTTTGGTAGATTCAATTTTTGTAAACTACCACAAAAAACTCTTCTCCACATGAAAACTATTTATTTCAGGCAAAATTCAACTTATTGATATAAGATCTGGAATAATCTCGTCAAACTCAAGCGCAATAACTGCCTATAAGTTTGATGACATAAGATAAACATCTTGTGCACAAATATTTTTATGTTGAAATGTAATGTATAACTTTATAATATTGGGAAATTATTAAGCACTTATTTATGTACATATATACATGTACACATAACTCAAGCAATATGTTTGTTAAAATGTTAGCTTGTACATGGGTGAAAATGAAATTGAGTAAGTAAATGAGGTGTATAAAAAAATACATATATGTAGATTAAAATATATACACACATGGACATACTCAAGCAATATGTTTGTTAAAATGTTAGCTTCTACATGAGTAAATATAAAATCGTTTAAGTGGATGACCTGTATAAAAAACACTACAAAGAGAAAAAATACATATATGCAGATTAAAATATATACACACAAGGACATACTCAAGCAATATGTTTGTTAAAATGTTAGCTTGTACATGAGTAAAAATAAAATTTAGTAAGTAAATGACATGTAAAAAAAAACACTGCAAAGAGAAAAAATACATACTTATATGCAGATTAAAATATATACACACATGGGCACATACTCAAGCAATATGTTTGTTAAATGTTAGCTTGTACATGAGTGAAAATAAAATTGAGCAAGTAAATGAGGTGTATAAAAAACACTACAAAGAGAAAAAATACATATATGCAGATTAAAATATATACACACATGGACATACTCAAGCAATATGTTTGTTAAAACTTTAGCTTGTACATGAGTGAAAATAAAATTGAGTAAGTAAATGAGGTGTATAATTACTTATGTTCCGAGTTCCGAGACATTCTGTGACATATGACATTTTGTGCACCTAACCTATCTTCCTCTATATAAATAAATAAATAACAAAACAACTGTTGTTTATGTGGCTTGTGGAAGTGGTATTGAACTATAATTTATATTTTGCCTTAATTTTTGATTTATAAAGATAATTTTCCTTTTTTAAAGTAGAATATCTAGGTACTAACGTGAATTCCGATCTAGCATTCTAGGCGCTGTTGCATCCACAATCGTCTTCGGGTGATGACTCAATTATGATTTTGTCGTTGTTCCGATTATAAGAGTCTTTAGTGCAAAATTGCCCTCCACACTTTCAAGATCATACAGTATCTGTTATGTCAAAGACTCGGGAAAAATACCATATCAGTTGAAAGAAATTAGTAAATTTAATTAAATGAGAGACAGTCATTTTGTTGGTGACAGATGTGTCGGATATTCAGGCAAAGGAACTGACTAGTAAACATTTTTGTACATGTACCTAACATATTGGTTGTTTTTAGATGTGATAATGACATTAAAAAACAGCCGTATAATAATATCACTTCATTGTGCTGAAACACATAAAATTAATTACACAAGCAAGTCATACGAACAATAACTGTAAAGTGGGTGACCTAAGTTATTTCAATGGGTATTCCACAGTGACCTTTTGCTCTAGGTGAGTTTCCCGGCTACAGAAATATATGGTCTAACTCAGAAAAAAAAAAGTTTATCTGGTTTGATACACCTCTTTTCAGAAAAGCACAGTACCCAGTTGAAACCTTATTAATTTCACCAGATAATGTCCCAAAAATAAATTTTGGCAGGACAAAGTTTATAATTTTGTCTCTCATTGATAAATGGATAAAAAACATAAATATTCATCTGTATTTGTATAATCCTGAGTTTGGGCAAAAAATTACTCATAATGCAGAAATTGTATAGCCAGAGAAAAATATAAGTAACGGCATGCAGTTCACAATCAGTTGACAGATAGGACAATCTTGTAATTTGTTATCCTGTTAGCCGTTACTTCCAGGTAAAAGATCATCATGAAAAATGAGAAATACAACTTCCTATGTTTTCAAACCACTTCTATTTGTAACTAAAGTTACTGCAGTTTCGACCTATGAGGACATTTTCTTTGAATAACTGTTTACAGAAAATATTGGCCCTATTTTACAAATACATAGAATTGCACATCTTTGTGGAACAAAAAGTTGAACAGATGTCTATTACAGGCTTCCCAGAATGAAATGCCATAATTTGCATGTCATTCAAATTAATTTATTTATTTGCTTATTTATTTAATTCAATTCATTCAACAACATTCAACAGAATTACAACAACCACTAAAATCTATAAAAACAATAAAGTTATGCATATACACATACACACACATTTTATACACATACATACCTACACATATAAAATTGATTTTTATATAATAGCATGAATATTCTGGTATAAGACTATTCACAAATCTTATCACAAAAATTTAAGACATTTAAACTAAGAAATCAGTAGGTGAACAAAGAAATGAAATTGGTTTTTCACAAAAAGAATTTATTTTATTTATCCTAGTTTCTTTCCTGAAGTATAAATTCTTTCAATAATGTTTTTGAATTTCACATTATTTTCACAGTATTTTATGTGATCAGGCAATTTATTGAAAGCAGAAAGAGAATCATGATTAAATTGTTATTTGCCCATTATAGAACTTGCAGCATCGAGATGAAACAGATTATGTTGCTCTGAATCATGATCATGAAATTCAGAATTTTTTATCAACATGAGGTTAGATTTAATTTTTTTACTGACCACCAAATAAGTAATTTTGAGTATGTCTATTATGAAATATTCTTCTAAAGAAAATGTGTTTGTTATTGAATACAGTTGGTTAGTTGGAATGTCATATGGAAGACGATACAGTACTTTTACAGCATGATCCCCATATATTTAACAAATATTTAATCCGGCTAAAAATGTGTGAGCCCAAAAAAATTATTGCTATTTCTGGTTTCAATTATGGACATCTGCTTGGTGTTACATTATTTTCAAAGTTTTTTGACTAGATCGTTTTATTAGTGACATGATTTTAGAAATTGACAGCTGCGTTCAGATTGATTCAAAGAAATTTGTTAAAATCACAAGAAATTACTTTAGTTTGTACATACCTGCTGGATTTGTTGGGCTAATTCTCTTGTTGGGGCCAGGATCAGAACTATAGGACCATCTCCACGCAACAGCCTTGACTGATTATTGATGTGAACAGTGGCAGGTAAAATATAACTCAGAGTTTTACCAGATCCAGTTGAAGCGATTCCCACCATATCACGTCCCGACAAAGCAATAGGCCAACCTTGAGCCTGAATGGCAGTGGGATTTTTGAAATTCATTTTTTTCAGTTCGTTCATTACATAGTCCGGAAAACCAGCCTCCTCAAAAGAAAATACAGGGTCAGGTATATTTTTTCCTTTCAGAGAAATCTCTTTGCTCTGTCTCCATTCGTTAATTTCTTGCAATGAACGGTTAGAAACGGATGGGTGAGGTACGTAAAAATCTTTTTTGAATGGTTCTAACCGACTCAGGTCCCATCTAGGTTTACGTAGATTTGAACCGGTGGCATTTCTCCTGCCACCTCCCCCGCCATAACCTCTGTCACGACTACGAGATCTCCTGCGATCTCTGCTTCTTGATCTGAAATGAGTTTATTTATTTATTTCAACAGAGAAGCCAATTTACAGCACACAGAATGAATTGTGGCCGGTCAAAGAACTCGTACCTTTGATTGCCTTCTATCACTTCTACTCAAGTAATAACTATATTTGAACAATACCACATCGAGGTAGTGAATGAAGCAGACCCTTAGTTTGCGCAGCTTTCCACTCTCCCACCGGCCAAGTCTTATTCAATTAGTTTTAGAAATGTACATGTACTCACAAAAATAGTTAACACATAAATTTTCACGAATTGTTCAAAAGATTATAAAGATGAATCAACCAACTCCAAGCTAGAATGGTGATAATTTTTTATTTCATTTATTTATTGAACGGGATCTCCCTTTTTATAATAGTACAAGCATCAAATGTAATAAATATTCATATACAATTTGAAAATTAAAGAAAGAAATTCTACCGATTGTCTCATTTTGTGCTAATGAATATTCACTAACTCTAAAGAATCTATTAACAGATTCAAATTAATTGATTCTTGATATTTATGGAGGTATGGTTTTCCTCCAGAATTTATTGAAATAGTAAAAAGTTTCATCCTTTCTCTGTAGGAAATAAAGATTTTTCTTGTGCCATCATCAATGAAGGTAAGAAATTATTGAGCCCCACCAGTGGATTCTTCTTCAATTGGGCCGCAGAGATCAGTGTGGATAAGCTACTCTCTTTCCCCTTTTTTGTGGAAATTGATTCCAGTTGTTTTCCAGAAATACAAATTATACATGGCTTAGTCACTGAACAGTTCTTCATTTCCATTTTCTGTTATTTTGCTTACAGAGAGATTGATTTTGAAGTCTGGGGTATAAAGTACATCTTGTGCAACAATATTTTCTGTTTTGCCATTTAGATTTACTGTAAGAGGAATATCTCTTTTCACCTCAAGTTTCATGATGCAGTTTGTAGTTTTTTCCCATCTTTATACTGTTAGACAGTAATTTAAGCAGTGATTCCTAGTACAATGGCAATAACCAGTTATTAGTTAATCTGAATACGTATAGAGCAACTTCAAATATCTATCAATGTAGAATTCAATATTTGAATACAAGAAAAATATATAAATGCCAGATTGACTTTTTTGTTCAATTCAAAAGTTCAAAAGAATATGAAAAACGATTAACAAAGGACCTGTGTGTAAACAAGTATCATGAAAAAGATTAATGAAAAATTAAAAGGAAAAGACAATAAAAGTGTTTTTCCCAAAGAGTAAAACATCAGAGCCGAATGTTTAGCATATAACTAAGTCAGTAAAATGACCCCAATGCACTTTGATGGGAGACTTTTCGATTTCCAATGATCCCAATAATTCTGTTCCAGGAACTCCAGGGCAATCGATATTTCAGATGGCTGCCCTGACTTTCCCAATTATGATTGACAACTACCGGTTCCGAAGTTTGGATAAATTTCAAACAAAATGTTTTATACAAATCTAACTTGATTGAAAAGCTAAAAATAATTCGTCAAAGTAAAACTTGTTACCTTCTTCCAGAACGTCCTCTCATTTTACTAAAATAGCGGCCGATACTTTGGTACTAAACAATTCACTTCACTTTGAGATAAATTTGTTGGTAGTAATCTGGTGATTACGAGAAGCAGTTATCAAAATTTTCAATAATTCTCACTTCAACTTGAAATATTCACGTAAACATACTTGATGATTATTAAGTATATGAAATCAGAGCAGCCATTAAAATTTTCACCTACAATTTGATTAATTAGATTAGACAGTTGTTCTCCCCCCCTTAACACGATTGACAGAAGAAAGTAATCCATGAATCCATAGCACAGAAGAGGAAACAATCAGAAACGACACTTGAGGGCGGCACTTCTGATCTGAAGACGCCAACTTCATTGACCTCCTCCAGTTTCCGTGGACAAAACAGGGCGTTGTCGATATCGAAAACATGCCGTTTTTGGAAACTGTTGAAGAAAATAAGAGGTAACTATTCAATTCCATAGTAAATCTGTACTTTGAATTATTGAATTATTTTCAAGATACAGACAAACTGATAATAGTTTATTTGATATGTGTGTTGTGATATGTGAATGAAAATTGATCAAGTGTAAAGTTGTTACTCAATATTTATCAATTTTGTGGATAATTTACGTGAAGTCAACCGTTCAGTTAAGACCCGCTATTTTTAAATAGTTTTCAATAATTTCCGGTTCTGACTTGATTCCATTTGCGTATATTCGCCAACCTTATGTATTATCTACTAGTGCAAGTATTTTATTGATGCAGAATGAAATGACCATTCTCCTTTAGATTTTAGTACTGTGTTGTGAATTTACTGTTGGGTGAATGGATTTATTCGATGGCCCATTTGAATCATTATCGCGTTTCTATTGAAGATCAGATCTATCAGATATTTTCTCTCAGAGTAATTTGGTTACTCTAAGGATATTTTGATGAACTCGCGTCAACCTATCCCACTCCAATCCCACAGACACCATAGCACAGAACAATTCCATCTATTTTGATTATATGAAGAATAAATGGCAACACCGTTCGTGTCAAAAGTAAATGTCAACGATTCTTCCTTTTCCGTTAAGTTTCTCATTTCTCGAATCGGAATTTATTCACCCGCATTCCGCATTTTGAATTGGTCGTCGTTGTTATCAAGTTGGTATTTGAGTTACGTCTCCCTCCATGTTTTGCTGGAACATGGAGGTCGTAGTAAGCTTGGTTTTGTTTAATGCAAGTATATTGTAAATTATTTCTTGTTGAAAAGGCCATCGAATAACCAAGTGAGTACCATAATTTATATATGTTCACATTGTAGTGATTTTGATAAATATTTTGTTGATTTTAACTTGTATGTGATTGAAATTTGAGTTTTAGATTGTGAAGTCGATTTTCTTCTGTTGACTCTCATTTTTGTGGTATAATTTGTCATAACCTGAAGCCTTTTTTTTCCTATGGTTTTGTGAAATTATGACTATTGGAATATATTTTTTTATAATTTGATAATTCGCCTATAAATTAAGCTATACTTTTGAAAATAACATGAATGCTAACCTCGGTTGTGTAGCCTCTTAGATAATGGAGACGTCGTGAATATCTTGAAGAATTTATATTATTATTGTGACTGAGTCACAGCTTTTTCTTTTTGTGATCATTTTTTTACCGGAAATGAATTATTGAACATATTCAAGTGATGACTGTAGAACTGCATGAATTTATTTAAATTTTGAACTGAAATATTTTCCCACTTTACAAAGAATCTATTGAATTTGAAAATTTTTGGTTTAAAACAAGTATTAATTTCCAACGAGAATAGTTTAGTTTCCAAATCAGGAGTCCTGAATGAATTTCATTGCAGACAATAAAATCTTCTGAAAGATTTGTACCAACATAATCAATGAAGAGAATAGTTTAGTTTCAAAATCAGGAGTCCTGAATGAATTTCATTGCAGACAATAAAATCTTCTGAAAGATTTGTACCAACATAATCAATGATAGTACTTCTATAATGTGAAATACATGTAGTTGATTTAACATGCATCTCTAGATTAAAAGAATTCAGATTTGCTGAATATTCGGTTATGAGTATTTTGGTTGATGAAATCAATGTTATAGTCGCCAGTTGATATTTTGTTAGAAAAATATGTTTTCAAACAGTTAAAAAAATGTATTGAAATAATAATTAATAACTTTGGACGATTTAACACATTTTTTTATTATAATTTAGATGTAAAAGCTCAATTTTTTATGAATAATGCACAAATTGTGGAAATTTAAAATTACTAGTTACAATTTTACTGTATATCCCATTCTTGACTTTGTGAATTCTGGACTCGTGTACTGTTCTTAAGTCGAATGTTTTAGGAAGTGAGTATTCTAGATATCTTTTCTAGTGTCACATCATTTTCAAGTTCTACGTTAAATCATACTGAAAGCTTGAAATTTTCTTCTAAATTGTAGAGGATAAAAAATATCAGTCTGCCAGACTGTCTGAAAGATAACGAATGCTTTGTTTTTAAACTATGGTTAACCTGAAATTGCTCAAGTATATCAAGATTTGAGTATATGGACAGTTTGAATATGTACTCTGTTTTTTAATACGGATTAATGAGCAACATTCTGTCCAAAATAATATTCTTGTACATAGTGCCAAGAAGGTAATTATCTTTTTTTGGTTTTCCCAAGCAAGGAACATCTTTGATTTGAAAAATATATTCTATACTCCCTGATAACTTATTCACTTCCATGGTATTTATAGCTATGCAATTTTTTTTTTCAGGCAAGATGTTTCTGTACCACATGACCCTTCAAAAGGCCACAGCCATCATTCATGCAGTCCACGGCAACTTTTCCGGTACCAAATCTCAAGAAATTGCAATTTCTCGAGGCAAAACTTTGGAACTGCTGAGAACGGACACAAACACTGGAAAAGTTCATACACTTCTAACTGTCGACATATTTGGTATCATAAGATCTTTAATGTCATTTCGGTTGACCGGAGGTACTAAGGACTTTGTAGTAGTGGGTTCTGACTCTGGTCGACTTGTTATTCTAGAATATATTCCACAAAAGAATATTTTTGAAAAGGTTCAGCAAGAGACTTTTGGCAAATCAGCCAGCAGAAGAATTGTTCCTGGACAGTACCTTGCCACAGATCCTAGAGGAAGAGCAGTAATGATTGGGGCGATCGAGAAACAGAAATTAGCGTACATATTGAATCGGGATGCCCAAGCTCGACTTACTATTTCCTCACCATTGGAAGCCCATAAAAGCAATACGCTTGTATACCATATGGTGGGTGTTGATGTGGGGTACGATAACCCCATTTTCGCTTGTTTGGAAATCGATTATGAGGAAGCTGATTCAGATCCCACAGGGGAAGCTGCTCAGAAGACTCAACAAACTCTGACCTTTTACGAACTTGATCTCGGCGTCAATCATGTTGTTAGGAAGTATTCTGAACCTCTTGAGGAGCATGCCAATTTTTTGGTTACTGTACCTGGAGGAGATGACGGGCCTTCTGGTGTACTTATTTGCTCAGAAAATTACCTTACATATAAAAATCTTGGTGAACAGCATGACATTCGTTGTCCCATTCCTAGAAGAAGGAATGATTTGGACGATCCAGAAAGAGGGATGATTTTTGTTTGCTCTGCCACCCACAAAACCAAATCTATGTTCTTTTTCCTTGCTCAAACGGAACAAGGAGATATATTCAAAATTACATTGGAAACTGACGAAGACATGGTTACTGAAATAAAACTGAAATATTTTGATACTGTTCCTGTGGCAGCTGCAATGTGTGTTTTAAAAACTGGATTCCTCTTTGTGGCCTCAGAATTTGGCAACCAGTAAGTATATTATTGTTTTTATTAAAAAATGGAGGCAAATTTAATGGACCTTCATATTCTATTCTATACTGACATTTGAATAACTGCATAAGTGAAAACTACACAAATTTTTTCAAAATTGAGTAAAAACCTATGGTCTTAACATCACAAATATTTTCTATGAACTTGGCAACACTGTAAAACGTATTCATATTGCATATTTCGATTTTCTTCTTCCTGTATTTTTGCGACTGCTTGCGACTTTGCCAACTAATTTTTAAGGTCGATTTGATGGTTAGTTCCAAAATTAACAAGTATTTCGTATTATAAAATAAAGAATTTATACTTGGAATTTTGTTAAGGTGATTTTGATTGAGTAGTACTAATTGAATGGTTATGTCGCATATTCATTGATGTTCTTTTTTTTGCTTTACAAAAATCATGCAATTTGTACCGTGGTTTGAAAGGGGGGTGAATCTTGAAGGTAGTGACGTTGATTTTATTTCGATGTGGGAAAATTTGTGTGTTACTTCCTTATGAATGAACCTTTTTTTTTTCATAGAACTAAGGAATACTATTGACTTTCTTTTTTTTTAAGTGTAAAGGTCTATCGAGAATAATTAGTATTTGTGAGGTAGGGATACAATCTTGATGCTGTATACATTTTATTGGTCTAGTAGAAAATTCTAGAAATAATATATCTGTTGAAGTATCTGAAGCTACTTTACTTCTCTCATTAATTCAAAATCACATTATTTAAATAATATATCGGAAACTGCTTCAAATACAACTTTGAAATCATTAAGAAGTTTACAGAATAAAGTTATAGAATGCATTTTTAATCTACTTTTCTTAGGACCAACTCATATCTTATATGAATTAAAAGTATGCACCTTTCTGCAGTCCATCTGAAAAGTAAAATAACATTCCACTATGAAATTTACAGAACCTAAATATATACCTGTTCTGTTAACAAAAAACCAACAATCTGTTAACAAAAAACCTTAAATCTGTATTTTCCAGCATTTCTTTTTACAAAGAAATGATTGCATGCATATAATGAATTATCAAATGATCAATTTTCCAACAAAGAAAAATTCAAAATAGTTTTAAAGAACTACTTTTTTTTAATAATTTACATAATCATATTTGTTTTTTTTTTTCTGTTATTAATTAATCAGACCAATTCTGAAATTGAGCTCAGGTAGTGAAATATTAAGATGTTATCAAAATAAAGCCTGTTTAATCAACCTTACTTAGAATAATCCAAAAACTATTCAAATTGAAGTGTTTATTGAAAATTTTTTCTGTTCACAAATTACAAGTGTGGATTTTTCAAATTTAAGTAATATAGAAATAATGTACATGATCATCAAGTAAGTCATCTAACTGTTGAAGAAATAAATGTGCATTTTTTGTAAAAATCTACATTTGACGAAACAATCTGCTTCATTATTATAGCAAAATTTGAATTGGCATTAAAAATCATTTGTTACATCACATTTGGTTGTTTTTGTTGTCAAAGACAGTTGTAATAAAGTGAATAATTTTCGTAGACATTTCTATAAACAATGGCAGTTTATTGATTAACTAATAACATTCAGGCAGATAAATGAAGAATATATTTATATATTTTTTTCAATAAAATGTTGCTGTCCCAGGTTTTTATGATAATAATTTTTCTTATCCACACTCTGGAAGCTGGTAGATTTAGACACCTCTATATGTATAGTAAATAATGTAATACTATAATATTATTATTCGGACACTGCTTGTCTGGGTCTTCTGTCGTATAAGAAGATATCAGTTATATATATGAATGTGTCCAATATAAATTCTGACACATAGTACCAACCTGTCAACTTGTGGTAGTTTGGCCTCCACGTTAGAAACAATTTTTTTAATCTCTACTACTTCTAAACTTTTCAGTTTCGAAGATAAAACTGATTGTTAGTTTATTTTTAGTTACCTCTACCAAATCGCTCACCTTGGAGATGACGATGATGAATTAGAATTCAGTTCTGCCATGCCCTTAGAGGAGGGCGATACATTCTTTTTCGCGCCGAGAACCTTGAGAAATCTCGTGCTTGTGGATGAAATAGAATCCCTATCTCCAATCCTTTCATCCCGAGTGGCTGACTTGGCTGGCGAAGACACTCCGCAGTTGTACATGCTTTGCGGGAGAGGTCCTAGATCATCTCTACGAGTACTCAGACACGGTCTGGAAGTATCTGAAATGGCCGTGTCAGAATTGCCAGGAGCTCCTAATGCTGTTTGGACAGTGAAAAAAAGAAGCGATGGTGAGTTTCAGTGGGGGTTGAACTGATTTGTTTAAAATTATTTACGTTACATGGGGTTGCTAAGAAACTATTTACTTTTCATGTACTGCTTTAAAAATATTCTGTAAAAAAAATATTTGTATCAGTCACTTCCTGAAATGTATTTCATTCTTTCAACTTTAAATTAGTGAGATCAAAAATTAATAAAGCCTGGATAGTTGAACACTTATCAACTCCGGTGCTTTTTTTATTTCAGATGACTGGCTCTGGGATAGGACCTTGATGACGAGGTAAGTGTCAAGATACAAATCAGTAGGAAGACGTGAGGTACACTTTGCTTGAAGCGTTTTCGGAGTCAGAAAAAAAATAAAAAAATTTGGATTATTGGGTAACTAATTGGGGTCAGGCACATCATGATGAAATTTTTGTCCGTGTTTCACCTGAATCATTGTGATTATACATTACAAAACTGAGATTTAATAAATAAGCGACAGTCTCATTCTTTGAATCAACCTCCAAGTGTTGAAACCTGAATTGTTTGTTACAGATGAATTTGACGCCTATATCATTGTGTCATTCGTGAACGCAACTTTGGTGTTGTCTATCGGTGAAACTGTTGAAGAAGTAACCGACAGTGGGTTTTTGGGAACTACCCCTACTTTATCATGTTCTGCCCTCAGTGACGATGCTCTTGTGCAGGTAGGCTATTCAACTGTTTTCATAGTCTCTTCGGCTTCTAATATATTTTTTCAATCATTTAAAGGTGTATCCTGACGGAATTAGACATATATGTGCAGACAAGCGTGTGAACGAATGGAAGGCAGGAAAGAAGAGCATAGTAAAATGTGCTGTCAACCAACGTCAAGTGGTGATAGCTCTCTCCGGAGGAGAGTTGGTTTATTTTGAAATGGATCCGGTGAGTTTGTGTTTGTGTACAGGCTAGTACTGCATGGTTACTCGTTTTACTGATGTGCTCTTATTGCTCAGTTAATCTATAACCGTGCTATATCAAAGATTTCTTGTCGCCTCCGATGTGTCTTAGCATGTTGGAGTGAATCAAGAAAGGACAATTGAACTAACGGGTGATTTTTTTGAGGTTAGGATTTTCATGCATTAGTATTTGACAGATCACGCGGGATTTCAGACATGGTGCAAAGAGAAAGATGCTCAGTATGCTTTGACATTTCATCATGAATAGACTTACTAACGAGCAACGCTTGCAAATCATTGAATTTTATTACCAAAATCAGTGTTCGGTTAGATATTGCTTATTTTTTCTGTCTAAAACTCTGGTTACACTTGATTATTTTTGCCTTGGTAATTATCAATAATTCAAATATTGCTATTTTTCAGACTGGTCAGTTGCACGAGTACAAAGAGAGGAAACGAATGAACTCTGATGTGCTCTGTATGGCACTAGCAAGTGTGCCTCAAGGAGAACAGAGATCTTGGTTTTTAGCAGTCGGTTTAGCGGATAGTACCGTGAGGATTATCTCCCTAGATCCTAGTGACTGCTTGGCACCCAGAGCTATGCAACCTTTGCCAGTTTGTGCCGAATCATTGTGCATCGTCGAGATGGGATGTACTGAAAGAGATCCTGACAATGCCGCAGCAGCCAGTACCACTAGTACTTTATATTTGAATATTGGTTTGCAGAATGGAGCACTGCTCAGAACTGTTCTTGACCCAGTGACTGGCGATTTGACCGATACTAGGACTAGGTACTTAGGATCTAAGCCCGTGAGGCTGTTTAGAATAAGGATGCAGCAGTCAGAAGCTGTCCTGGCTATGAGCAGTCGTTCGTGGCTGAGTTACTACTACCAAAGCCGATTCTACCTGACGCCCTTGTCTTATGAAAGTTTGGAGTATGCTTCAGGTTTTAGTTCGGAACAGTGCCAGGAAGGTATCGTAGCCATTTCAACGAACACCCTTAGGATTTTGGCTTTGGAAAAATTGGGTGCTGTCTTCAATCAAGTGTCCTTTCCTCTTGAATATACTCCGAGGAAGTTCATCATTCACCCTGAATCTAGTAACTTGGTGATTCTAGAAACTGAACACAACGCTTATACCGAAGAAACAAAAAAACAGCGAAGGTTGCAAATGGCCGAAGAAATGAAGGAAGCTGCAGGGGAAGAAGAGCAAGAGCTTGCCAAAGAGATGGCAGAGGCCTTTTTGAATGAGGATCTGCCGGAGAGCATATTTTCTGCGCCTAAGGCGGGGCATAATATGTGGGCATCCTCAATCAGAATAATGGACCCAGTACAAGGAACAACTTACAAATTGATTCGTTTGGAACAAAACGAAGCTGCCATGTCACTGGCTCTAGTTAAATTTCATGGCCAGCCTGATTATCAGTGGTTTCTCATTGTTGGTATTGCTAAGGATTTCCAACTCAATCCTCATCAGTGCTCTGTCGGGTTTTTGGATACCTACAAAATTGATTCGTTGGGCAAGGAGTTGGAACTGGTACACAGGACTCTCGTTGATGAGGTACCCATGGCATTGTGCTCTTATAATGGGCGACTTTTGGCAGGGGTCGGCAAAATGTTGAGGTTGTATGATATGGGAAAGAAGAAGCTTTTGAGAAAATGTGAGAATAAGGTGAGAACGTTTTCATTGAATTCATACATGAACAAATTTGTTCTGACATGTATTCCTGATTTTAATAGAAAGGAATGTTTATTTAACAGTATTACCATTTACAATGAGAAGTAATATTACTAGGAATCACGTAACAAATTATATCTACAAAATGATAACAAAATAATTGAAAATTACATTTTTATAAGATATTAGAATTGCACAGTGCATGTTTGAATGAGGCTAATGAACAGAAGAAAGGATCGATACTTTTTATTATTGACATAATCAAGGATATGAGACAATAGACTGTTATAAACAAGGTTCGTTTTATGAATTTCATGCTAAAAAATGCAAAGATACCTAGTAGAATAAACATAAATTTTAAAATTCACTATCAATAATAAATGGGAATAGTCAATATCGCCATTGAGATTGTACATGAGCAATGATTCAAGTATGAAGGGACGATCATCTAAAGATTGAAGCTAGTGGTGAATTTTGATGATTGAAGGAGGAGTTGTCTGGTAAATTTGATTTGAACATTTTCTATTATTACTGATGTTCTACTTCTTTTTCTACTTCCAAACATTCAAAAAGTTGTAACGGATACAAAAAAAATAATTGAAAATGACAATTATAAAAGTAAGTGTAAACTACTACATGTAAACATATTAAAAAAGTCAGTCCAAATAATATGTAACCATATTATAAGTCAGTCAAAATAATATAAACAACACAATAACACAAACAGTGATAAACGTCCATAAGTAATAAAAGTAACATAAATATAAATGTAACTAGTTATAGACTATGAAAAGTCTAAAATATAATCAACACACAATTTCTCAAGTATTGAAAGTAAACACTTTAACCAAATGTGCTGAAGCTCAAGATCTCAGATTGAATATAACTTCACACCAAACTCGATATTAGAAGTTGAATAAAGAAACAAAACCAAAAAATTATATTTATATGATTTGAAAGAATAATAGAATAAACAAAGAATATTTTTAACAGTGAGATTTCATATTCTGTGAGTTTTTTCTAAAATTTGAACCAGGGTCGACCTCTTTCAGCCTTTCATACAATAAGAAATTGTGCTGTTGAACTGATTCTAAAGATATGAAATTGATGAGAAATGCTTACCCAATAATTATGCATGTGATATCTGCCTACATAGTATTTCAAAGTAGGATGAGAGATGATTATGTTATAATTTATGAATGCAGAACCATTGACACCTCATATATGAGGTGGGAAACGGACAAAGAGTCAGTAAGGTCAACGGCAACTTCCCTTATGAAGACACCTTCAAACGAAACGAATTGATAGTTTTTTTCAACTAAGTGTTCTTTGAATAAATAATTTCTGAAGAAATGAGTAAACAAATATGTCAAACAGTAGGTGAAATGTCAATTGTATACAAGAAATAAAATCAAGATAAGAGTTGTATCATTGTCATCAACTTAATTGATTCTTGCAACTCAATAAAGAACTTGTGAAAAACCTCCGCTGAATTAGTAAAATGTCGAGCATGAAACTGTATAGAGAATAAATGTCGAGAATAACAACTATATACATTATACAATCGATAAAAATTCACAGTATAAGTAAATGTATTCATATATAATACCTTTATTTATGATGATACCAAAATTGCCTGATAACATGCTGAAATCCTGCAGTACTGAAAATGTTCATCTCATTTGGTAGATTTATTTGAATTTTCTTTTTTTTTTTATCATTTCAATATTTTGTTACAGCACATTCCGAATGCCATAGTAAATATTCAAGCAATGGGAAAAAGAATATTTGTATCTGATGTAGCGGAATCTGTATTTATGGTCCGTTACAAAAGAGCTGAAAATCAGCTCATCATATTCGCAGATGATACACATCCTCGTTGGATAACCTGTACCACTGTTCTTGACTACGACACGATCGCGACGGCTGACAAATTTGGAAATATATCCATACTCAGACTTCCCCCCAATGTTAGCGATGACGTTGAAGAAGATCCGACTGGCCACAAAGCATTGTGGGATAGGGGTCTCTTGAACGGGGCATCTCAGAAAGCTGATACTATATCAACATTCCACGTTGGAGAGACGGTAACCTGGTTGCAGAAGGCGACTCTCATACCTGGAGGTTCGGAATCGTTGATATTCACTACTCTGTCTGGAACAGTTGGTGTTTTGGTTCCATTTACGTCTCATGACGATCATGACTTTTTCATACATTTGGAAATGCATATGAGGAGTGAGAATCCACCACTGTGTGGAAGAGATCATTTATCATTTAGATGTTACTATTTCCCAGTTAAGGTGAGTTTTGTTTAATTAATGCCTGTAGTTTAATGTTACTGGGTTTCCTGAATACTTTGTTTCATGATAATGTTTTCTGATTCTTTGAGTTATCTCGAATCTGAGAATTTTTAGTATTCGATCATCATTTTACCAATTTCAATGGTATTGAACCCTTAATTAGAAATATTATTTGGAAAATTTTAGGCAACTGATGACATCTCTCGTTATTATAAATTCACTTTTATTATTTTTATTTAACATAGCAAGAGCGTAGTCTGAAATCAGATGAAAGTCATATAGTAACTCCTTTTAATGAATCACATACCGACAGTTTTATTCAATAGAAAATCTATAGAACCACAAAAATTCTGCCAAGAATTACTTATTTTTTACAACAAACTATGTTCGGTAAAAAACAATATTTTTTTATTGATAATTAAAAATTTATTATGATGATTTTATTTTCACATGCTAGACTTATGATTGTGATTTGATTATACTTTTTCCATCTGAAAATTACCTTTATTATCATTATGAATCTGTATTGAAAATGCCGTTATTGAAATACTTAATGTTTCCAGAACGTAATCGATGGTGATTTGTGTGAACAGTACAATTCGTTAGATCCTGCCAAGCAAAGGAGCATTGCCAGTGATTTGGATAAGACGCCGGCAGAAGTTTCAAAGAAACTTGAGGATATTAGGACTCGTTATGCTTTCTAATATTTCAAATTTATTTTTGTATTGTGATTTTTTTGTATTAAGTAACTTAATTATAAATCTAATTTAGTCCGACTTATTTTGTTTTTTGGGATTTTTAAATTGAGGTAATTTTTGTATCCTTACATTGAAATTAATTGTGCAACCTTTGAAAAGTAAGTATAATACAACGATTAAATGAGCGCCCGTCTATGGTAAAAACTAAATTGGCTCAGCACTTCGTTTCGAGGTCACCAACAACTTTGAGAATTTATGAATGAAATTAGTGGGAGTGGACTTGCTGGTTGATTTTTACTAAAGTATGACCATGCGGTAAGAACTCCTGATGCACTGTGCCACTGCGAGCAACACCTTGACATTTGATCGAACTTGGCGTGTTTTTTTGGTCCTCTTATAGACCCTTCTAATGAGACGATTTGTTTTTATGTCATAACCATGATTCGTGAACCTTTTAAGCAAATCTGGTTCGCCGTTGGCGTCATTTAACAATTCCTAAGCGACGCTCATGCTACGGGTTTTTTTGGTCAATTTAGGATTAGTTATAATAAACGGTCGGAAATAGATATTGTGTTAAGTTAATTTGCTGTTATTATTGCTTTTAGTTTTTGTAGTTGGTTATAAGTAACCACAACATTTTCTGTAATATCATTAAATTTCGTTTTTATATGAGCGCCCGTCTATGGTAAATACTAAGTTGGCTCAGCACTTCGTTTCGAGGTCATCAACAACTTTGAGAATTTATGAATGGAAATGGTGGGAGTGGATTTACTGGTTGATTTTTACTATGGTATGTCCATGCGGTAAGAACTTCTGATGCACTGTGCCACTGCGAGCAAAACCTTGACATTTGATCGAACTTGGCGTGTTTTTTTGGTCCTCTTATGGACCCTTCTAATGAGACGATTTGTTTTGATGTCATAACCATGATTCGTGACCCTTTTAAGCAAATCTGGTTCGCCGTTGACGTCATTTAACAATTCCTGAGCGACGCTCATGCTACGGGTTTTTTTTGTCAATTTTGAGCACTCGATTTCATTCTTTTCTTGATATTTGGAGCAAATTCTTCAATCGATTTTTTTTGATAGCAGAAAATCGTCGAACACAACAGCTGAAACTGAATGTATGTTCGAGACGAGTGTACCAACACAAAAATTAAATAAATCGCCAATCGATAGCCCGCGAAATTTGAACATTTACCTTATTTTTTGATTAGACCTCCTATACTATCAACAAAAATAAAAAATTTCTGGATTCTGCCACTATATAAAATTTCTCTTTTAATATGGACCCGTCACTCACATCATCATTGAAGTGGAAGCGCATAGAGTTTAATGAGGAATTTTCTTCATTGAAGTGATAGATCTCTGGCAAGACGGTAGCAGGTTGGGTTGGCGCGAGTAGTTTTTACTGCGTAACGTCTAACCGGCGATATGATAAGGTATGATTTTGTTAATCCTTGGCTAGCACAAATGTTGACTTCCGAGGGTTGTCGTTCGAAGGGAGCGGCAGCTGGTTATCGGTAAAACAGATTTCAGATTGGAATTTTTGACTCTTGTACAAAAATAAACACGGTAGGTAGGATTTAAAATAGCACAGAATGGTAATTTTTATTCCCACTCGTGTTGTGTTGAGAATATTCTTGTTAATTGAATAGTTTTGACATAGTAACAAGAATATCGCTGACCTTGAAGAATTTAATTAATAGTTGAAATAGTTTCTTGCACACTTTGAAATAATATTGATATTTCTCTTGAGAAAGGCACATGTACGATGTACGACTTTCACGAAAAAAGCCTCCAACTCCAATGTGATGATGTTGACACAAGTGGTAAATGATATACAGGGTGTAACATAAGTACGTTAAAATAATCAAGTGACGTATTCCTGAGACAATTTTAAGAAAAAAAAGTATATGAACTTGTTTCCAAAAATGCTTCGTTTCGGAGATACGGGGTGTTGAAATTGAATTTTTTTGTTCGCTTTTTGAAAACTCTTACACGAAATTCGGTACCCGGGGTTTTTATGACGTGAGAAAACATAATTTCGTATTAATTTTCATATAACATCTAGAGGGCGCTGCGTACGCTGTCATTATTTCAAATTGCCCTAACTTTTTTGACAGACAGACCTGATTCCCACACCTTTTCCAATTAAAAAAGTACACCTCCTCAACAACGTTGAGTTGGTCGCTCGGTAGCCAAGCGGTTCGGCGTGGGTGCTTTGTTCACTCACTCGAATTGACTGCCGTGTTGGTCGGTGGTTCAAGCCCTAGTCTGAACGATCGATCTTCACNGTGAGAGGTCTGGATAATATGGTGTGAGGTAGAACTTTGACGGTAATTTGTAAAACATGCAGTCGGGCGTTATCCGTAGAACAGGATCGGATTTTCTGTTGACCAGTGCTGGCTCCTGCTGATGCAATTTTAGGTACATTTCATTGATTTTTTCCTGTTGTGATGGTCCCGAATAACCAGTGTCTTTTTTGGTGGGTTTTCGCCTTCGGGAAGTGCCTGGGTAACTCAGCCACTATCCGAAACGTCTCCTGGTGTCGTTGAGGACCTGCTTTTCATCACACGTGACGATCCGATCCAAAGAAGGATCGTTTTGGTTGTGTAAAAGCAAAGAAGAACAGACCTCGAAACATGACAAATTCTGTTGATAGTTCAAATCATGGGGCACCTACTTTTCGAGTTTTTTGATCTGTCCAACACGCTCATGGGAGCGAACGCCAAGTTCTTCCGCCATCCCACGCACCGTTTGTGATGGGTCAATCTCCACCAGGGTCCTCAAATGCTCGTCTTGTATTACTGTAGGTCGACCACTTCGAGACTCATCTTCGAGACAAAAATTTCCGAAACGAAATTTCATAAACCAACGTCGAATAGTGTTAAATGCCTTTTTCGGCAGTGCTTTGGTTCAATTTGAATTCGTAGAAAAAAATTGACCGAAAATCGTTTAACGCTGTGGCGCTGAAAATGCCAAACACGAAAAATACACGTTATTATTGTTATGTAGAGAAATACCGAGAGCCTAATTGAATTTCAGATGTCATTTTCGAAAAATACAGAAGTATTTTTGGACTCGGTAAAAACATTTTTTGATTGGCCAATTTTCTCCGTTTGCATTCCGAAGCGAAATAAATCAACTGATATATGTTTGCAATCTGGCAACGACGCTCCAATTTTGAACTTTACATTTTATATTGTTCTTGATGAATTTGCAATGAGTACATAATTTGTTTTAGTCAGTTTTTAATACATATATAACGTTTCTTTCATTACTGATGTGAAGAATTAGACAATTTCAAGGTGCAAGTGATATAACCGTTAATAATGCTGTGTGCGCATAAAGAGTTTATGAACTTGTGCGCACCATAAATATCATGTGCTCATTTATATGAAATCATTATATGTAAATATTAATTTTTGGTAAATAATTTTTCAATCCACTTTTGGATTAATACTCAATTATCACATAATTTTGAAATATTTTCGAATTAAATCGCTTTTATGTTAAACAAAAATTGGGTCACATTGACAACACTGCAAACGCTCGAATGTTTTACGGGCGTTTTTATTTTATACTGGAGTCATTTTCGCGTAGACTGTTTGTTATTCACTCAAATTAAAATTGTACATGATGAGTAATATTGAAGATATATGGACAATTTGTGAATTAAAATATTTACGATTATTACGAAGGTGAGTTTAACATTTTTTTAACAACATATTTACCTTCATTTGGTCTCGTTCAGAACATTTTTGGGGAATCTTTAAAATACCATGAATCAAACAGGACATTGAATAGTTTCATTCGGAAACGATTGTGAACTAGTTTTTCTACGGATGTCAAAAATGCATGTTTTGTGACTGACATTCCTGTATACTTACAGAAGTTGACGTCTAATTATCTGATATCAAAATCAAACCCGTATTTTGACATGAAATTATTTCAATTACCTACATTCCATTTTCTCATTGAAATAATTTCATCAATGACGTCATACCTGTCAAATTTTGTAATAATTTCAGAATCACTTCCAAAGGATGTTCAGAAAAAATATTTTGTTATATAGTCAGGATCCCGCTGCAAAATCACTACGTTCATTGCGTTGTTAACTAAACTCGAATTTGTACATATATTAATGACAGGGTGTCAGTCAAAAAGTGGCCACAAATATTTGTTATCTATGTTATCTATTCCGTTCACTTATTTCTGAAATGAATTTCCATTCACATGTTAGTAATATACTTATGTGAATATTTAGAAAAGCCATGTGTGCTATTCACCATTCGGCCGCTACTATTTCGCAGCCAGGTGTAAACAGGTAATATTTTGGTGCCTTTTTACGTTCATGACGTACACGCATGTATTAGTTTGTAGAATTCAAATGGAGCATTAGGTAGACTTGTCTTACTGTAAGACACGCCCGAGGAAGCCATTGTATGGTGAAACACGTGTTGCGTTTTTGAAAAACTGTTAAGTGAAAAATCTCACAATAAAGTGTTTTTAAAATAAGTTAGTTATGGATTTTCATCAAGTATCGGCCGATTCCATCATATATCGTCGTTTCAAACTGACCTCGGTCACCTGGAGTTATAAATGCAGTTTTGGCTTCTGCGTGTTTAGTCAATGATACTTGTATAAATACTCATGGACGAGATATAAAGTTGAAATTTTGAAATTTAAATTTTGAACTGTTGGAATAGGATATACAGTGCATATCTTTAATGTCCCCCTCTTTATTTTTTGAACGGGTCAACTCAAAACATTGAGATCTGGAATAACGAAATTAAGGCATGAATACTTCATTTTGAAGTGAAATTGATAGATGAAACTTTCAAGATGGCGACTGGGCGCCATCTGGGAAAAAAATTTAATGAAAGGAGGGATTTTTATATTCCGTCGCGAATGTTTGTGAGGTGTCTCCTTTTACTGTGTGGAGACTTTTGAAGAGGAATAGGTATCATCCATACAAAATAAAATGGTACACCAATTAACTGAAGATGACCCTGATCGAAGAACAGAATTTTGCGAAATCATGACGGAAACCATTGCAAGGCATCCTATCTATCTCCACAATATTTGTTTTAGTCACGAATGTACATTTTTTTTAAACGGCAATGTTCATAGAGAGAATTCCGTAATTGGAGTGACACCAACCCTCACGTTTTCCGGGAAACACAAACCCAATATCCAGAAAAATTACCGTTTGGGCAGGAATATTGGGAAACCATATTGTAGGACCTCTATTTATTGATCAAAATTTAACAGGGGAACTGTATTTGAATATGCTGGAAACAACTGTTGACCCTCTCATCACTGAAATCGTCGAAGCGAATCTTAATGAATTCGATATGGATATTGTATTCCAACAAAATGGAGCACCTACACTTTACTCCAGACAAGTAAGAAACTATTTGGAAACTACTTTTTCCGATCGTTGGATTGGTCGTCGAGGTCCTACAGAATGGCCAGCCCGCTCGCTAGATTTGACACCTTTGGGCTTTTTTTATGGGGCTATTCGAAGCAAAAGGTGTACGGAACTGAACCTGCTTCAATACTGGATATACAGCAGAGAATAATACATATTTGTAGAGATACTGACGTTACTGTGTTCGAAAATGTTCGGCGTGAAATTTCAGATAGGCTGTTCATATGTCAAGAAGTTCAAGGCAACCATTTCGAGCATCTTCTGAACTGTCCTTAAGCTTATTACCTCATATTATGAAAAATGACAAATTATTCAGGTGATTATCAAAAGTTTCGCCATTTTCTAGCAGTTGAAGATATTAACATTATTTTCTAGGGTTGTGAAGAATTTGTCAGGAGCTTCAAAAAGATGTGTCACCAGAACCCCCCCTTTCCATTAATTTTTTTCCCAGATGGCGCCCAGCCGTTATCTTGAAAGTTTCATCTGTCAATTTCACTTCAAAATAAAGTATTCATGCATTAATTTCATTATCCCAAATTTCATTTTTTTGAGTTGACCCGTTCAAAAAATAAAAAAGGGGAGACATTAAAGAAAAGCACTGTATTAACTGTCCAGTTTGTTTATTCTGGACTAGCATTAGAACTTTTGGTGTCTGTAACAATTCCATTATCACGCCAATTTTGAATAATACTTTTAATTGTCTCTCTTTCAACTAAACTAGCTCTATATGGTTCGCTAATGATTGGTTCATCTTTTTTTTTATTGGCTTTCGGGTTTTGCCTTGGTCTTCTTTGGTTAAAATCTCCAAACGTTTCAACTGCAACTGCGACAGTCATCTTCGGTGGCGTGGTAGAAGTACTCTTCTTGACGTGTCAACTGAAATTGAAGCTCTCATTTCTGCCGTTGCAGTTGATATGTTTGGAGATTTTAACCAAAGAACGCCACCACCACCACACCAAAACCCGGAAGCCAATCAAAACATTGATGCCAGCCGTGAAAGATGGGTTTATCATTATCAACAATGTCCATTTGTATTAAATCAGTACAACCTAGCTCCCTTTCAATTATATTTTTACTAGTTCCTTGTTCAACGTTCAACATGTCAGGTGACAGGACTGAAGATATTTTCACCAGCTTCTGGCGTTTTTATATTGTGGCAGGTCTCGATTTATCGAGATTCTGGTTGGTTGAATGACAACCCTCTCTTGAGCTATGCCGGAGATTGTCTCATTTGGAGTTTGTTGTTCAACTCTGGATATTGCAACTCGTCCCTCCAAAATAATGTAAAATCATCGTTTTTCCAAACATATGCTATCGAATTATCTTCGGTGAAAGTTTGACCCAAAATAACATCAACAGACTGAGCTTCAGCTGGTACTATACATAAGGACTCCTTATCGACAAAAACATCTCCCAACTCGATTCTGGCTGTGAATGTTCCAAGACTCGCAACCTTTGATCCTCCAAAACCGGACAGCTTCGATTCTCCTGGTTGGATGAGATGTCCTATCTGCACTGCTTCACTGCTAATGGTACAAACTGCCCTTTTCGGATTAAAACTTGATACTGTACATTGTTGTCTTTTAGTGTATGCATGAATCAATTAAGAATATGAGAATTGCGCATATTTACTGTTGGAGTGGTATCTGTGGAGTTGCGTTCCATGTATCTACGTTTGAACACCTATAACATAACGAGGTTCTAGGTTCTTGTTTTACTAAACTAACTATATCTCCACAATTAAAACATCTCTTATTACTTCTATGTCTATCATTTTTATCAATATTACTTTGCTTTTCATGCTTACCAAACTGAACCTGATTCCTTTCGTGTTTTCTTNAACCCATCATATTTTTTATGTTTCGTTAATTAAATTTGTTATTGAATGTTTTCCTTGCCAACGCGTAATGATTCGGAGTAAAATGTTTTCTGCTCGCGATAAGTCATTTTTGGCTGGAATATGGTCTATCATTTGGAAATTTGTGATTGAGGCTACTCACTCTCACTCAGAGACATCCTGAACAGTTAGTACGCATGTTGTTAAAAGTTAAACAGTGTCTACCTTTTTTTAAGACAACATAAAATATAAGTTTTGTGTCCTATAAGGTTGTCATACTGTGATGTCATATGCTTGTCATACACTACTGTCTTTTTTCTTGTCTCTAAAAATGTCAATGTCAATAAAACTCTCTCCTCTCTCAGTTATTCCTATAAGTAAAAGAAAAGGAGTTATGCTTTACCTCATCCAAATTCAAAAATAATCTCGAGAAATCTATTTGCTCAAGCCAGAATCAATATATATTCAAACACATGTTAACAACTTATATTTATGAGACAAAACCTTGCGAAAAGAATTTGAAATTCCTGTGTGATAGCTGTGATAGAATTGGCCGATACTTGATGAAAATCCATCATAACGTATTTAAAAAACACATTTTTTTCAATACTAGGTGTATAACCGTTTTAATGTTAAACTGCTATCTGCTAATGAGGATATGCATATAAATCCCTACTATTTTTGCTCCGCTTCGCTTTGTTTTGTCAAAAGATCTCGATGCGAGAAATAAATTGACACAATTTTTTTCAACCTGACGTAAGTTTCATTTAAATAATGTTAATACTAGATATACAGTTCCAGAAATTGTTATTTAGACTATGGTTATACAGTGTGCTCAGTAAAGTCCGCATCAGAGTAGATTTTTTCTCTCAATAGCTCTATTCGAAATTTGACTTTGGCGTAAATCTTTGCTACGATCGGGATGAAAAATTTCACAAAAAATGTATTCAAGTGATTCAGCGTTATTTCCTATAATATCGAACAAATTAATGTGAAAAAATTTTTCTAAATACAATTTTTAGTCCGTATGTAAAATTTCTGCTGCATAAGATACACCAATGTTGCAAAACGAGAATCTGTTCATTAAAAACTACAGTTTTGACAATGTTTTATACCAGATACGTGTTCTCTTTAGTAGCGCCATGCTAAATATTGTTTTTTCTACAAAATCGAGTTAGGGCTATTGAAAATTGGTCACAAAGGTGATGCAAAGTCCATTTGTTATTGAATTTTGAACAAGGTAACTTCATGAAATATCTGTTTTTGAGAAGGTGGTTTGTGTCTAAAAACAATACACATCAATATCAAGATGATAGCTAAAAAAGGAAAAAATCAAAATCATTTTATGTTAAGAAAATTTCGCATATGGACTACTTAATTATTGAATTCAGAATATCATTTTTGAATATTTTTTTCAATATTTTGAGCAA